GGGCTTTTGAATCACTTTCCCACTTGTGGTGGGACTGCCCAGACTCGAACAAAATCTGGGTATAGTGGGTAAAACACTGGGACAGTCTCTCTGCCCGATCTGTCAAAGGGGACAAATTCTGGGTTTTCATTGGAGGTGTCCGTTTTCATTGGAGGTGTCCCGGAAGGGCCGAGTCTGCAAGAAGGAAGGCTGGGGTTACATCGCCCAAACTGCCGGAGCAGTGATATGTGCTGTCATTTGGCACGAGGGAGCCGATGCAGTTTTCAACGGGGAAGATTGGACTAACAAACAGATTCGGGAAGAAGGCAGGCTGGGGTTACATTGCCCAAACTGCCGGAGCAGTGATATGTGCTGTCATTTGGCACGAGGGAGTCGATGCAGTTTTCAACGGGGAAGATTGGACTAACAAACAGATTCGGGGTGAAAATTTTCAAGGTATCCTAGGGTTTATCCTGGCTGATTGGAGGAGAAAGGTTCTCAAAGCAGACCGCGCTGTAGCCGGCAGGAATTGGTTTTCCAAAACAAGGTGCCCGAACGGCAAATTGGCATCGGTAGATGAGCATGACAAACTGATCCTCAGGAAGTGGCTGTTCAATTTGTAGATTTGTAGGTACGGCAAGATCAATATGGCTGTTCAATTTGTAGATTTTATCCCTTGTACTGGCTGTTCAATTTGCAGATTTTATCCCCCTTTACAATTACATTAACTTTCTGAGTTATTAGGTGTTGCTTTAAATTAAATTTGCAATCTTAAACCACCAGTACGTGGCCCAGCTATTGATGCCGAGCCGGGATACCCCCTGCGCGCCAAGTTTTGCCAAGCCACAGGGGCACTGTTTTGTTTTGATTTTGACTGGCGCTTCCAGCCATTGCGATTCGGTGCCCCGAGGCGCGCAACTACCGGCACGTTAACGGGAATCGGCCGCGGCTGATAGCTGGGCCAAGTACTGGTGGTTTAACCTGCACGCTCGGTTATGGTCAGGTTGCGGGAGACAGGCAAATGGTGTACAGAGTGGAAGGAGCGTAACTCGAACACAAGGGCTTCCTATTGGACCCCGCCCCGCCATTAGGGTTTTTAATTAGGACAGTAGGCATTAGGATAGATATAGAGGCTCCGCAGGTTTGGGTAGCGTAGGAAGGCACAGAAGAAGGCAACTCGCTTTCTGGTTCGTGAGGATTTTAAGCCCGCGTTGAGACTTTTGTTCAGCAGAAAAAGTCAGAATAGTTAAAGAGTAGTGAGGTGTTCCAGTTTCGGTTTGTTTGAGTCTTGAGGCTGTGGGGCGGTTCATTGGGATAGTTTGGTTTGTGAGGTCTTGCAGGCCTGAGGCGTCGTTTCTCGTTTCCTGAGGGTCGGCAGGTCTCATCAGGACAGCAGCCTGGTCTTGGCCATTTCTGTTGCTAGATCTTACCCCGACACCTAAAGTCATCTCTTCCACTACGCTCCGGGTTGTTTGTTGAGGATTCCCGGCCTCTCATTGGTGTGCGTAATCGAATGAGCAGAGTTTTCCTTGTAAAAAAAAATAAAAAATAATAAAAGAGTAAAAATTAAAAAATTAAAAAATTAAAAAATTAAAAATAATTACAGATGTGTACTTCACATAATACAAAAATATATCGTCAAATAGAACTGCCCGGTAAACCGTAGGCAGAGAGGGAGAAGAGGACAACGAACGAGGGGCTGTGACAAACTGTTTCGTCGGAGTATATATCATATAGGCATATACTTCACATCATAATAGAGAACTCGCAGAAAAAAAAAAAAAAAACAGAAAAAAAAAACATATTTTTTGGCCCCAAAATCCTTTTTGGCAGGGGCCGATCGCCTTCGGGTTGGACCCCGAACAGGACCTGGAACGCCCGTACGTACGGAGGTCAGCCCGGGGACCCCTCCGTACGTACGGGCTGGGGAGCCTGGTTAAAACATAATTTTTATTATTTCATTTTTTTTAATTTATTTTCGGCCTGGCCAGGCAAGTGGCCCCGCACCACTCTGGTAGCCTAAGGTTTTAACGCCGTTCTTCCCGTTCTACCACACTACCCTGGTAAACAGCTAAAATTGAACCTGCAAGGGCTGCAAAAAATGGTTGAATAGTACATGTCATTTAGACGCCTCAAACAAGAAGCAAGATGGTTGCACGCCCAAGGCTGATTAGCTCTGGTGCATTCTCTCATCTAACTCTACACAGCGCAACTCTCCGGAGGAAACGGCCGGCGCTTGCAACTTTTAGAAAAGCGTAGCAGTCAAACACTCACATACTGAAATGACAGCATAAAAAATGAAATTCCAATGATGCATCGGCTTGGTCTTTCTGTCCAGTAGAAATTGAACCCATCCGGCATGCGCGCAAGGTATTCTCATTCCACTCAAGAGTCCCAAACAAGCTTGGACTGAAGCATACCTTCCATGATTAATGTCAAAGAGCACGACCTACCCCTCATGATCAGATTGGCTGAGGTATCTCGCTTTTGTTGCTTATAGCTCATCTCCCCGCCGCCCCCCCCTCCTCCCTTGCACACCACACACCATACCCGGCTTGTCACCAGTTTCATCCAATTTGCCAGCGGCTGTGTCTTGTGCGAACTTGCACATTACAAAGAAACCGCTCTCCATGTAAAGGGTAATTGCTCCGACAACGATGCCAGATAGTCAATCGACCAATGCTAAGAAATTGGCAGCTAGTTTAAAAAACCCACCTCTCACAGTGGGGCCCCAACCACAACCAAACCTCTCTCCGCCTGTCCACAGTGACAAACACTCCACAAGCCAGACTGCACAACGAAACTGCACATGTCAAACGAACTGGTGGTCTGAATTTTTAAAGCGGCTTGACGTTCCAGATCTCTCTCTCTCTCTCTCTCTCTCTCTCTCTCTCTCTCTCTCTCGACGTGCTTCGAGCTGCCCCCCCCCAATCGGGAATACAATCACAGAAAACACGGTATAAACCTCTCCTCATGAACATCTATGGCAGGGAAATCTGAGTACCCAGCCTCCTGCATGTGCGTGGGGTTTGTGTGTGTGTAGTGTAGATTATTGAATATGGAACAGCTGCACCACCCTGGAATGCGTTTGGCTGTTGACACGTAATAACCAAAACAGAACCGCTTTCATGAGCGTCATTTCACAAAAACAAACAAGTGGGCTGATCACAATCCCACGCACAAGGTTCCGCACATCTGTATTGCCGCCAAAGGGGATGCGCCACGTCTGTATTCCCACCAAAGAGACTGCCCCACTTCTGTCTTGACGAGCAGGACGAGTGGCTACACCTCTGCGCTACCAACAACATCCCATGCCCTCAAACCCACTCAGTTGAATACTCGCCTGCGGCGCCACATTACCCCATGTTTCCACAGCAAGAGTGCAATTTTTTTTTTTTCTTTCTCTCAAATTGCTATAACGCAGTGCACTTCGGCGGCTGCAGTTCTTCCTCGTGCCCGCCTTTGCCCTCTGCAGCGCCACCAGACCTGCATCCACTGTGTATACCCAATGATCCAGGGAGGTCTTGGGGGTGACTTTATGCGCATTTGCACTTGTCTGTCCGAAAAATCATCCATCCATTCTGCACTGTCGTGGCCTTGCTATACCACAGTGTACTCAACAGGCTAACCCAAACCGTGATCGTTGACAGTACCTCCGAAGCCACACACACACCTCAGGGAAAACTTGATCTTCGTCAAAACTAGACGAATCAACCAAAAATATATATAGATGGAGTGCATTGCCGTTCATTTCTTCGTCATTCACCAGTGATTCAACTCCATAACACAAAAAGACTGAGGTGCCACGTAACCTGTGCACATGATAGGGTATCCGTCCGAGCATGCCGTACCACTCTTATTCAGGCTCTCACTGTGATCCCAAAACAAGGCTGCCGTCCTCATGCAGGGAGAGCATAACGTGGGGAAACTTGGGAGGTTCCGGCTTCGAGGGGGAGGAGGGTCTCCAGTCCTAAAACGGGACACCATCCTCGTGCGTGGTCAGCATAACTTGGGGAAACTGGGAACGAGCCGTTTGGGGTTTGGAGGGGGTGAGAGGGGGGCCACAAAAAGAATGGGAAACTGCGAACGAGCCGTTCGCGGTTTGGAGGGGGTGAGAGGGGGGCCACAAAAAGAATAGCAGAGAGTACACAATTCTGGGGCTCACCCTGCACCCACTCCCGCCCGACCCACCTGTGCTTGCACACCCTTACCCGCCTCCTCCCACGGCCCTGTCTCTCCTTGTGCTCCTGCCACCGAGTACACACCGCCCCCCCCCCCCTGGAGAAAGAAAAAAAAAAAAAAAACAGAAAAAGGAAAACCGGCCTGCTGTCACCCMCMCCCCTGCATCATGGTCCTCAGCACCTGCTAGGGGTGTTCTTTTTTCTTGTTTTCTTTCGCAACGCAGGAGTCCTGTATCCCTGCGCTCTGCTCCCCCCCCCCCCCCCAAAAGAAAAAAAAAAAAAAAACAGAAAAAGGAAAACCGGCCTGCTGTCACCCACACCCCTGCATCATGGTCCTCAGCACCTGCTAGGGGTGTTCTTTTTTCTTGTTTTCTTTCGCAACGCAGGAGTCCTGTATCCCTGCGCTCTGCTTGTGCACCTGCCACCCCGTACCCCCACCCCCCCACCCCCCACCCCCCATGGAGAAAGAAAGAAAAAAAGACAGAAAAAAGAAACCCGGCCTGCTGTCACCCACCCCTGCCTGCATCATGGTGGTCCTCGGCACCTGCGAGGGGTTCTTTTTTCATGTTTTCTTTTGCAGCGCAGGAGTCCTATATCCCTGCGCGCCCTGCCCCCGCCCAAGGAAGTTCCAAGAGGTCCCCAAACCCTGAAACGAGAGGAAAACCCCACTGGTGGGTGCTGCTGCTACCCTCACTCCCCGCCTGGACCCCTGAGTCCCACACCTCCACCCGCAGGCCCCCGCCGCAGATCCACAACTCTGACAACAACTTTGTGTTTCCCTCATCATCGTACGACCACTGGCCTGGCACCAAGATCAGACACAATAAAGATCCAGATTCTTATTTCAATCTGCAAACGGCAAATCACGACCGATTTGCGCCTGGACAGCAATTTGCGCCCGTGCAGTCCAGTTCTTGTATGCTGGAAACTGATTGATCCTGATGGCATTCTGTACATCTACACCTACTTCTGCAAGGAAACTATCCACCCTGATCCTCTGCTGAAATACACGCCATGCTGTTTAGAACCTATCTGTTGCGTTCAAAATTTTTGTCTGCACGTGATTGAGACCATGGGTTTTGCTAGCTCATAATTACAGAGGTGTGGTACAGGCAGGCACCTGCTACGTGGTCATGGAATAACTTACCTTTGCATTTGATGAAGACCATGCGCTTCTAGCTAGCTCCTAACTACCCAGGTGCAGTAGAGGATCCTACCACGTGGTCTTGGAACAACTCAAAGATGTTCATCCACCTCTTCTGCACTTTGTCCTTTCAGCTTTCGCATTCAACACCAGCATACAATCTACGGAGCAACACCAAGCACACAGACTATGTGGTATTGAGCCAACTCAAAGATCTTTGTTCTTGTTTTCTGCACCTTCTCCTTTCGGCTTTCCACCTGAACATATCCGCCACCTTCTCCTTCTCGAGGCACCTCGGCGTATACCAAAGTACAAACAAAAAAAACCAACGTGGTAAGTCCAAGCACGTGGGTGAGTGTGCACAGACAACCACATCATTAGGTAACCACCCAAGTAACAAAACACTTAGGTTCCTGCGCCTTGGTCAATTTTAATGCGCATTCCAACAAGGCAATTCCCTCCACCTGCCCCTGGTTGGGCGAATCAATCCCCTCCTTGACGAGGAGCATGCTCTCGTGAGGAAGAACGCGACCAATCAATCCCCCGGCCTAGAGAGAGTTTGCCGCCGTCGTCTCTTTGCAACAACTGGTGGGAACTGCACGGATTACAACACACAAGTGACGTTTCAGTGTCTAATGCACGGATGCAGACTCCACATTAGCAGCAGCTCATGCAGCGATCGGTCGCTTGTTCTTGCAAATGCACAGCGCACTTCTTCATCGTCAGCGGCTGGTGATGATTCATCCTGCAAAACAGAAATATAATTCAAATATTTACAAAACCTGTCAACCGGTGTTCGCTACAAAATGTGTTAACCAGTTCTCGCTTCAAAATGTGTAACATTCCCTTCTGATGTGTAGTGCTTATATGTTTGTTTGTTTTTCTTTTTTGCTTCTTTTTTTCTTTTTTTCTTTTTTTAAAAACAGGTCCTTATGGTCCTGGCTCCATATCCATTCTGGGGAGCGTCAGTCCGGTTCCTTTTTTTTTTTTTTTTTTTTTTTTCAGTCCGGTTCCTATTCCCCCGCAGTAGGGCTTATTTGTTACTATCTTCTGGACAAGAAATGGGCAGGGATGTGACTTCTTGTCGTTCTCGAGGTATTTTAACACCAAGTATAACGTGGTTAGCTTTTGCCTTGACATTGGATGCCCATACAGATACAGAAAGAGGCCCCTCTTCACTCAAATACTCTTTGTCTCACATATGAAGCGATGACCGGGATGGTTTCATCTCTGCGGGCTTTCCCTGGACTTGGGCATGTAGAACCTTCAACCTAAATCTAGGATACCTCCCAGCTTGCCCGCACCATTGGACAATCAGGCTCAGGTTAGCACGGACACATTTACCCAGGTGTTCCTGGCAAGCCAAAAAAGTGAAGTAATTTTCTGTGCTACCAGGCAGGCTTCCCGGTTGGGGAGAGTAGTCGCACATTAACAACCCGGGCAGGGTCGACACAGCCTTCCTGGCATCCCCTGCGCAAATCACTCGAAAAAATGAAAAGAAGATCGAAAGAATCTGGAAAAGATACATGTTGTGAAAGACCGTATCGCAAAAAGCTTTCGGCTGACGGTTAACCTTGAAATTCCTTATTTATTCAATTTTATTTTGTGTGTGTGTGTGTGTGTGTGTGTGTGTGTGTGTGAGAGAGAGAGAGAGAGAGAGAGAGAGAGAGAGAGAGAGAGAGAGAGAGAGAGAGA